AATTTTTTTGAAAAAAAAAAAACCCCCCCCCCCCCCCCCCCCCCTTTTTTTCCTTTGAATTTTAATTTCCTTTTGTCCTTTCCCTCCCCTTTATAGTTACAAATCTTGGTTCGTGTTCAAATTGATTCTACTTAACTAAGTCAATTTTCTATCTCTATGTGAATTCGAATAAACCTTAATTAAAAGTTTTAAAACCCTAAGAATTCATGTAACAGCAGCACAATTAAACCTTAATGTATTTTAGAGTTAATAAAAACCACATTTTGAGTCCTGTTTTCAAAATAAATTTTAATTCTAATTATCATAGAAAGAAATATTATTTTATCTCAAAATATTAAACTCGTGTCCATATACTTGTTTTGTTGTTTCCAAATATAGAAGTAATTTTAATCCGTTATAATAATTTTTCCATATTTTACATTCAGAAGGAATCTATACTTACCAAAGAACGGTAATCTTAAATCCTAGTTCCACACGAATTCAGATTTCCAAAACCTGTATATAATCGATTCATTGTATTCCCAGAAGATAAGTTCTCTCTCTCACTACATCCGCACGCAATATTCATTGATTTTCCCATAAATAATCTGTCTCTCCCTCTACTGGATTTTAAGCCTTTTACTGAATCTTGAATATGGACTCCTGCTACTGGTGGGCATCCGTACGTGAACTGGATTTTCCAGAACCAGAGGTTGGTAATGACACCTCATCAACAACAACTATTGAAGTGGGATTCAATTTTCAAATCATTAAACACTTGGTAAATCATCGAGGCAATCTTTATGTGGAAGCTCAAGGACTAGAGCTATTGTTGATAAAAACAAAACTCGTTCACGTCGATTTTGCGGCTGCCGATGATGAGTTAAAACAACTTCTGCTGTCAGAACTCGCAATTTATAGCATAAGAAATCAAAACTTTAAAGAACAAATCGTCGATGAGTTAATTTACTATGCGCGAACCAGAGATACCAGGGTCCGGGAGATGATCTTGGAGCTTCATTTAAAAAAGTTATATTGTAATGATGGAGATGGAAGTTCTTTACAGTTGATGAAATTTGATCCAGTAAGTATGGATACAATCTTATGGCCGTCAGAGAAGATAGTCCCGTACAAGAATGACAATGACGAGGTCGAGACTTGTACGGTTTGTTTAGAAGAGATTTCGGCAGGGTCGTTGGTCTCAACACTGACGTGTTCTCATGTTTTCCACAGCAGTTGCATTTTCGAATGGCTAAACAGAAGCGAAAATTGTCCTATTTGCCGTTTTGAGTTGATTGTGCACCCAGTAAGGTTGTCTGTTTTGAGTCTGGTAAATAATGTTTAGTAGGTATCTTTCATGTGAGAGAATGACATAAATTTTGGTTTTTACTGCCTAATGATGTTATATAAGAGTAGCGTACCATGCTTTGTTTTTTCTTTCTTGTTGTTCCTTAATTTCTTCATAAGGTGTTCTTGATGCACAATTTTCTCAATGTCAGCAAGATGAATTGCTTTGGGATTATCTTGTATTTCCTTTTCATTCTGTTAATAAAGAAGTAATTTTCTTTTTACATCGTTAACATCAGATTGCGTTTTTCTTGACGATCACAACCATGCATATTTTTATTTATTTTTAATTTGTCGGAGAAGTGATAGTAAAGTTCCTTATGGGTTACATTAGATATTGGATTCCAAATAAATTCCAAGTTTTTAATTAACTTTGAATATATTAATTAAATAATAGAAATAGCGTAACGGTTTTCAGTTTGAAAAAGGAAAAGGGAGAGCCAAATCGGAAGAATTAAAGAACAAAGGAAGATGTCACTAAAAGGACACAAAAGGAAATCTGTGAAATCTTCAACTAAGGAAACAAAATAATCAGAACAAAGGAGGGATGCTGGAGTTGTCATAGATTGTAGTATTGTACTAAATATTAATTTCCTCTGTATATGTCTTCGGGTAAAATAGTAAGCATACGACATCATCAATTTCATTGTAAGGTGGATTTATGGAGACTAAATTATAATTTCCAGGAGAACCTTTTTTATTTATCATTGACGAAATAACCATTACAAAAATTTATTACTAAGAGTTCTATTTTCTTGACTAAAACTGTTATGTTTAAGTAAATAATTGATAAGATTGATTTTGAGATTAAAATAAGAATAAGTGCTGAGACTCACGATTTTACTTTAAGACCCCGTTTGGGAGTGATTTTTTACCCCAAAAAAATTGATTTTTTGACTGTTATTTCACTATTCCAACCGTAATTTTTGACTTCTTCTCTCACAGGTGGCCCCTACTTTTTTCTTAACGGTCAAAAAATTAATTTTCAAAATCACTCCAGAACAGGCCCTAATTCTCTTACTTGATTTATAATACAGAGCCATGAAAAATAATTGACATGTGTATTTTGTCAAACTTAATTGAAACTCTTTCTTGAGCAAGTTCAATTTCACTGAGTAAAAGTAGTTACACTATATCTTTATGTGAATTTTGAACTAATCAAATTTTAACCTTACTTTATAATTATTACATTTAATAAGTTACAAATTTTAGTATTTTTTTCCTTTTAAATTGTTTAAAGTATATTTAAACTGATTGGCCATTCACGCATAAAATAACTATATTAAATAAAAAATAGAGAGAAGTCAATAAAGGTCTCTTGAAAAAGCAAAATGAAGAACAAAACTAGATAGTATTGTTGGAATGTATAAAATACTTCTCTCTAAATTAAAGATGTTTTCTATTATGTATAAAATGTTCTTTATAAATAGAGAGTACTTTGAAAGTGCTGCAACTCCATAAAGAATAATGTAGTTTGTTGGAAACATAAACATACTGACTCGTCATGCTAGGAAATATTGTTCGAAAGGTAGAGCAAGCTCAATTAACAACTCGAAGTCAAACAATTTATCTCTCTTTCTAGAGACAATGATAAAATCACTTGAGTACAATTTACATTCTAATGCCTTGATAGAGGTATTTTTACTACTAGTGGATCCATTTGTCTACACATTGGCATTGGCTTAACAGTGAGTAGGGTGTGGTTAGATTGATTTAGATGGCAATTGAGCTCTTGAAAAGTCAAGAAATAGGGTTGTATCATATTTTTTTTCAGCAAGTTTGTTTTGATATGAGCTGATAATCTTAGAGCTTGTTATTATTTTTAAGGGATTATACTCATACGGTGAAGTATGTTAATTTATTTATTTTGAGAATCGAGAATGTCAAAGTTTGATAGACGCTTAGGGATTTTTCTCAAGTATTCTGATCAAAAGTTGTAGAAGAGATGATGAAGGATTTCACTTCTTGTCGGCAAGGTGGAGATCATATGAATTGTTGCCTCAAAAATCCGAATTTAGGAGGAATTCAATTGCAAATAGGAAATAAATTAAGGCCAACAGATATGTTACCATAGTTTATTTCTTATTCTCGTACTGTTATCCAATCCTTGGAAGAAAATTATCCTTACCAAATAGGATGACTTATTTCACAATCTGTAATTTTTTGTTTACTATTTTTATATGAACAATAAAAACTATATGGACGAATAAAAGGAATTTGTCTCAATTGTCAACATGATACATGATACAAACATGTTTAGATCAAATAATTATCAATAAAACACATACACCTCATAAATCTTGATAATATGAAATGTAGTCTAAATTAATTTCTTTTCCTTTGAGTTTGTGTAGGCAAACATACTAATGTATATTATTTTTTTTAAATTCATTATACTTTTATATGGAATAGAATAAGGACAAACAAAAAAAGACAATAAGAATTTGAGAACTGATATAAAAATCGAGAGGAAGGGATTGATTGGCAATTTATTATATTAGATCGTATTAATTAGATGAATGTATAATCAATGATAATAAATGTTGATTTTGATTTGATCGATGAACGATATTTTTTGGACAATTTGTTTTCCAATTGAGATTCTCCGGCAACTTTTACATTACTATTTTTTTAAAGTCATTTTACATTGCACTCCATTATCTAGATTCTTCACTATCTAAAAATATCGAATTCGTGTCAAAGACAATTGAATAAAACAATTGACATTTATTTTGTTGGATCTATCTCTATTTAACCCATATTTAATGTATACTAATTTATCATAATAAATGGAAAAAATTGTAGCAGTGGTCTCTAACCTTTTTCGTTTTTTGCAGACTTTACTCTAACCTTTATTTTGTACTAGTGAAGGTCCCTAACATTTAATAAATATGTACTTGAGGTTCATCTGGATGGAAATCGTCCAAAACACTGTCAATTGATTGGTAAAATTCCTTGAACTATCTTTTATCGAGACGATTTTATTGGATGTTGATACTTTTTTGGATGATGTTTTGGATAATTTTATTGGATATTGATTGCTAAATTTTTTGGATCAACTGACCGTGTTTTGGATAGTTTCAGTCAAAATGGACTTCAAGTGCATATTTATAAAATGTTAGGAACCTCCGTTGATACAAAATGAAGATTAAGGTAAAGTCTGTAAAAAATAAAAAAGTTAGGGACCACTGCTACAATTTTCCCTAATAAGTGATCTATTGGTATGCTTAATAGAGATGGTGGAATAATACTTGCATATTATGTTACACGAGACATAATCAAAGCATAAGTTTTTAGATCTATACTTGAATAATTTTTCTCACTTAAATAACTTATGTATTTTTGGAGTAAATAAAACCCACATTTTGTGTACTATTAAATAAAAAAATTAATTCTAATGTACAAACAATATTATTTTATCAATAAATATTAGATATATCTCCAGATAATTAACTGTTTTTTTGTTTCCATATATATAAGTATTCTAGTGAGACGCACATGCAAGGCACGTGTCATTGTTTAGTTGGCTACGTAATAGCGTAGATATAAAAATGCAAAAATGTATAATTGTTCACAAAATGAACAAATGCAAAAAATGTATAATGTACAACAACGATTCAAAGCTCGAGCGTCATATAGAGAAAAAACATTTAAAAAAGATGGAGAAGACACAAATTCAAACAATTGCAAAACTAATGTTATCTACATTTAAGTCACTGACTTTATTAGATGTGTATGTATCGATATACTTGTATCTTGTTTGTGCAAAGAGTTTATTTATAAAATGCGAGTATAGTAAATATTTGGCCACATGCACTTGAAAAACTAAAGGAAAAAAGGCAAATTAAAATTTTGTTCTTTAAACCCTTCATTCCATTCCCAACCAATGTTGTTGCCAAGCATGGACATACTAAGAGTTAACCTCAATCTTGTGTGAATTCAATGTACATGATCATTTTAATAATGCTTTGATTTCAAATTGAACACAAACAGAAGATTAATAACAAATTATTGTAAACAGGGGCGGAGCCAGGAAATATGTTTTGTGCGGGCATAATTTAACCCACGTCGAATATTGAGTTTTGGTCATGAATTTAATGACGATAATACTATAAAACAAGATCATGAGTTTGGGCCTAAAAATAAAACTCATGTAAATTAAAACATGTTTTTATTCCACCTTTCATGCTGCTAAAGGGAAAAAAAATGAAAATGGTTTGGGCTTAAAAATTTAGTGCGGGCATTATCTCAACATGGCTCCGCCCATGATTGTAGAAGTACTTCATTTTCTTCTATGCGTTGATGTTTACTATTTTTAACTACCCTGCATCATAAAAAATTGAATTGATATATGTACTAAATATGATGCACACATAGATATATAGTCAAGAAGCATAAGTAGAGCTAACATAAACAAAGGCATTAAGATTTTTTTGCCCAAATGGGAGAAATTCAGACTAAGACTCGAAAGAGAATAAAACCATTACCTTGAAACAGAATGATAAGTGCAATTTGTGCACTTAATTAAGTAATATTTCTAAATTTTTACGTCGTTAAATTATTAATTTTTATATAACTAGGTTAAATTTCATTTTGTTTTTAGTGATGGACTCTTTTGAAGCATTTGGAAAAGGATGAAGGATTAATTGGCTATTTGATGCAAAGTTTGGAGATAAAATTTTATACTTTGAAAGTTGAGGACTTGGGGGATTAATTTTATACAAAAAAAGACTCAACTAGGCTAGAAATACATACATACATCCCGTTTACAAATTACAAGCAAAGGAAGAAAACCTAGAAAAAATAGGGGCTGAATTCATATATCTTCTTGGAGAGAAAACGGCAACTGGAGGAAAACAAGGGGCTGCCTAAGCTGATTTTCAGAAATATATCCCACACACAATTGTGCAACAAACTGGGGGTCAACATCTACACATATAAGCTGCTGAATTTGGCAAAAAAAAAAAAAATCTTCTTGGTGAAATTAATAAGGAGCAGGTTGGAGATTCTTGGGAATTATTTTGGTGAGATAAACTAACCGGCTGCTTACTTAGAGATTATATACAAACATAGGCAGATTTTTAGGGAAGAGACTGCACGCCAACTTGGAGGGAAAAGATACAGGAGCACACCAAAATT